CTTTACCTTCAGTGTGTGAGTGTTCCCTAAGTAAATATTTGTTATTTTTTTACTCGGGCTTTCGTGGACTTCCTTAATCTCTCCACAGTTACTGAATATATTAAGGGTTGGTTCTCTTAAGACCTTAGATTCCCTTTTAACTTAGTTTCCTGTTAAATTCCTCTGTGTGGGTCTGAATATTTCTATGATCTGCATTTGTAAGTTTTTCTAAGGCCTGTATCTTGGCACTCATATCAACCAACCTTTTTAGAAATAAATCAAGAATTATCAAAATGATAATTAACAGTATGTCAATCCCAGTTAAGTTGATTATCCCTTCATTTACTTGTTGCATTTTCAACCCATCCACTATGTAACACACAGAACATAACTCTCTCTATTGCGTTTTCTTTTTTTGTGGTTAATTCCTTCCTTTAAAAATTCCCAATAGACTTCCCAAATCTGCTGAGAACGAGCATGTGGTGTGAGATAAGAGTGGAGGCCTGAGGAGAGGGGCTGTAGGGAAAGCCTGCCACCCACATGGAGGTGGGCATCAAGAGGGGAGAAGTGAGAGAGAGAGAGAAAGAATGAGCTGGCTGTCTGAAAAACTCACACAGGATTGTTAAGAAGAAACGCGTGTGGTGGAAACTGCCAAAGGCAAAGTCTCCTGAGCTTGAGTGGCAGCTGATGACTAGAGTCTACAACCAAAAAAAAATCCCACAATTGCTCAAAGACTGGGGGGGGCAACAAAAAAAAAGCCTTAGTCAGGGACTCCAGCAGGAGCCCCACCTGCAGCTCAGGCCTGGGCCTGGGCCAGTGACTTCAAAGTGACTTTTTCATGGATTCATACTTTAATGTTGGATGCTAATTTGTAACATGAATAATGTAAACCCAGAGACAAATATTGGGGTTCAAGATGAAGATCAGAAAAGCAAAGCAGCCAGCCTCCTAGCTCTTATCTCTACTTCAGACTGGAAGGATGATCCTGGCTCCACTAAGCCTCAGATGTTCTCCCTGTCTGGAAAGTAAATCTCACATGAGACCCTTTGCTTCTTCCTTTTATACCTCCCTAGTACTGGGACTAATTTTGTTAAAACATACTGTACATATGTTTCTAATTTTGTTCAAGGTATTGTACCTATACAGCTCATTTAGCAATGCAATGCAAATTTCTAGTTCTTGAAAATTATCATCAATGATATAGGATAATAAGGATATGCAGGTTAATAATTGGTTACCCATTACAATCAGACTTGTAGTCATATTAGATGTGTTTACAAGGTCAAACAATTCAGAGATCTACAGAATATGACATGTAAAATGTTTTAATAACATAGGTATTCTTTTGATGACAATGAGACATGTCTGCTCCTGACAGCACCAATCTACATTGGAGAAGATGATGGGCACGGGCAGTTTACTTTCTTTGTGGCAAAGGTAAGCTATTGGGCAATAAAATCCCCTTGCCTCAACTACTGACAGTATGCTGTCCAAATTGGACAAGCAGGATATCAAAGAGTGACTGAAAACCTTGCTAAGGTGAGACAGCCCTTCAGAAACACCTGTCAGATATGCTAGGCCTGCAGGCTGAAGATGGGTGCCCCAAATGTTGCAGAGTCAGCTGTTTCTGTCATTTGTCATTTTTTTTTTGGAAGTAGTTTGCTCACACTTCCTGCTCACTCAGGTAATATTATTTCTTTCTTGGGTCTCTGAGGGAATTGAAGACTAAATAGTGTAGTTATAGTTTTTATTGCCTGGCCTCTATGGCCTGTGGCTAGCTTTGCATTCTGAACCCTCAGGCAAGCTTTAATAAATCATAAATAATATATTACCACACATATGGGGAATTAAATAAGCAGGCGCAGAGTGTCAGTACTGCATGAGCTCCACATGGAATCCAAAAAACAAACATTCAAAGTGGTGGAACATATTATGGTGGTTCCCAGGGCAGAGAGTAGGAACAGAAGGAGACAGAAGAAAGGGGAGATATCCGTCAAAGTTTGTAAAGTTTTGGTTAGATTGAAAGAGTAATTTCTGGAAATCTATTATGCATCATTCTGTCTGTCATTAATAATAATAATCTGTATGTTTGCAAATTACAAAAGCAAATCTCAAATGTTCTCACAACACATAAAAAGTCAAGTATGTGAGGTGGTAGATATTATCTCTTATATGAACTTAATTGACTCAACTATTAACTCTCCCCTTAACTGAAATATAGCAGGATAATTGGGAAGGACCAAATATCCTGCAATAATTCTTACTCATAATAGTGTGTGAATACCAGTGGCTTAATTCAGTAAAGAAAAATTAGTTCATTCAAGAGCCTTAGGCTGTGGCGCTTCTAACATCCCACACCATCACTACAGTGATGACATCACATTCCTGGCAGCAGGAGACAATACAGACATGCTACATGCTACATGCTACATGCACCCCCCCAGAGTCTCCATTTCTTGGTTGTAATTACCTTACCCCCACTTAATAGGAGAGAAGCCTGGGAATTTTACAGATGTTTATGCAATATTGACGACCACCACTGTTCAAAAGGACACATGGATGTTAGTTTGTTTGAGAAAGGGTCTCACTGTATCATCCTGGCTCTACTGGAACTCTCTGTGTAGTCCAATCTGGCCTCAAACTCACAGAGATCCTCCTGCCTCTGCCTCCTGAGATTAAAGGTGTGACCACCATACCCTGCTTCAAGGTGATGTTCTTTTTTTTGTTGTTGTTGTTTTGTTTTGTTTTTTTGTTTTTTTACCAGACAGGGTTTCTCTGTATTGTTTTGGAGGCTGTCGGTCCAGCCTGGCCTCGAACTCACAGAGATCCACCTGCTTCTGCCTCCCGAGTGCTGCACGGTAATGTTCTTTGAGGCTAAATGCTAAAACTAACCATTCCTTGTTTTATAACCACTCATGCACTGTCCTATATTTCTATTTCTTAGCAAACGTGTTTGTAAATATTGTACTTGCTACTTATTAAGTTATTAATTAAATATTATAATGCCCAATGAATTGTGATAAACAGTTGTTTCTATGCAGTCAGAACCCAGCCCTAAGAATCTTCCAGTCTATGGTGTGATAGTGTTGGACTGTACTACTCTCTTTGTTTGTCATTATCTCCCTAAATGTTAATTATTCCCAGCCTTGATTCCTTCCTTTGAGAGATCAAAAGTAATGCTCTCTCTACAGGAACTGGGAGCTCCTATGAAAACCCAGCACAAATTTTTTTCCATCCCCGCAAGGGGAAAGTTGTCCTTTTATTCAATTTGGAAAAAAGGACAGCGCCCACTGTGTCCTGTAATGTAAGCAACAAGGTTCACTGGGGATGATGACAAAACTTCCTTCTCCCAGGGGGCTGGAGAGAGCTCGCAGGCTAGGAGCACTGCCTGCTCTGTCAGGGATCTGTGTTAGGTTTCCAGCACTCACATGCTGTCTGTAACCACATTTCAGGGATCTGGTGCCCTCTTCTGGCCTCTATGGGCACTGCATGTGTGATTGGGTGACCATCTTGTTCTGGAAAAACTTAGATTATGACGTCAGGGAGTAGAACACTACCTGCAGTCTGTACACTCATTGTGTCCCTGGATGATGACCTGCATTTCAGCCTGTATCACAGAAGATATGAAGGGCTACTCCCCATTCTGACTTGATTCAGAGGATGGGAATCCTGCTAATTTTTAGACAAAGTGTGTGAATGAGGGCATGTTCCATGGAGGCATGGTCTTCCATGATCCCAGAGACAGGTTCACCTGTGTTATTAAAAAGAAAACCTAAAGGTGTGCTCCAGATCTCGGGGCTGAAAGCACAGCAAAGAAGTCACAGTGTGTGGGAACTAAAATAGATAGGTAACAATGTTCGCAGGTGATAAGAGCTCCATCCTTTAAGAATTTCAGCTCAGCAATGACGCCATGTGATGTGTAATGTGGTTCACATGTGAACTGGCACCTCTAGTGATGGCTGGGCCACCTATTCTGTTAGGTTTTACATTAGTTACCTTTCTCATTGCTCTGTCAAAACACCTATAAGGAGCAACAGGAGTCGGGAGGTTTTTTTTTTTTAACTTACAGTGCAAGGAGGATCAGCTCATTAATGATGCAGAAGGCCTGGTGACACAGAGAGAGATGAGTGACAAAGCCCCTCCGGTTTTGCTTTTTGTTCAGTTTGTTTTTGATTGTTTCTTTTTCCCCTGTCTGGAACCTCATCCCATTTAAGGTGGGCTGCCCAGAGATAGGCATCCAATTGAGCATCAACATAAACTGTCACAAGCCTACCAAAACCAAACCGCCCATTACCCCACCCTGAGGGAATCTGGAGATCCAGGTGCTCCACATGGCTGATATAACAACCTCCATTTTGAGGCCCTGGAGATTCAGGTCCCCAATAAAAGGGGTGAACACAATGTCTGCTGCTCACATCCTTGTGAAAATGGAGAGAAACGGCTTGGTGCAATGAAACAGACATTAGAGAAACAAGAGACAAAGATGGAGAGGGACACAGGGACACACAGGGACAGGGAGATGCAGTAAAGGGAGAAGTAGATGGGGTTACGGCTGCAGAGATGACTCTCATCGCTTACTTCTGAAACCAGCAACCCCCACATTCCTTACATCAACAAAATAGGATTAAGTTGGATTTTTGTCATCTGCAACCACAAAATTGCTTTTATTGTTGACCAAAATCTTTAAAAAATGAACATGGGTCCCAATCAGTGTGACTTCGCAGGATGCATCTGAAACATTAATGACCAGAGGTCACAGCTTCTGTCACCCAGCAATCCCACCACGTTGAGTTGTACTGTTGTCACCAACCTGAAAGAGGCTGGTGTGAAAACAGCACACTGAGGAGTAAAAGTATGAGCTATACATATGTGACAACAGGTGCCTCAGCCACCTTAACATGGAGCCCAGGATGCTTTCAATCACCTTTTTAGTAGAAACCTCTACTTCCGGCCATGGTTTGGCTAGGTGGTTAAGTCCCACACGGCTTCTCCCCAGCCCCATCAGTTAAGGAGGTTTAGGATACACATAATTCAAGGTATGTTTAATTTTAAAAGAAGCAAACACGTTAGCACATCTTTTCAGAAGTATTGTGGGAGAGTGAAGACAGAAGGCCTGGGGGTCTCAGTAGACTGTGCTGCAGTTCTGGAATCATCCCAGGAGCAGAGCCAAAGACAGAGCCTGGGGCATTGGGGGTCACAAGAACTGAGCTGTTGAGTGCACTGACCCCATGCTAGACTCTGAATCAGAGAGGGACAGGCAGGCTGGCACAGATGGGAACTGAAGGTAGGGATATATAGACCTTATGATGCAACAGCCAATTTCATCAAACACTCTCATGAATCACTGCAGAAGCCCTGTGGGAGACAGAGAGAGGGAGGGAGTGGTCACGAAAGGAACCCTGGAGATGCCCGACTCTCCTCCTGGATCCCACTGAGTTACACAAACAAAGCTGGTGACCAGGCCACGCCACCACCTTCCCCATCACCTGTGCAAAGGTAAAAATCAGCTAAAGGGGCTCAGGGCTTCCCAGGACACAAACTGTGGGGGTGGAAGAGAAGCCACCACCCCCAGGCAATATGAAAGCTCGGATCATTCTGGTAAATTAGAAGGATTAGTCTCCACTGCAGGGTTCTCAGCCTCTTCTGGTCATGAGCTTCAGTGCGGGGTTCAGAGCAGGCAACATCTTAGTGTCTAAACTCAAGTGATGGTGGTGAGGTCCTGCTTGGGGACAACCTCTGGAGCTTCCTGCAAACGCCGGCTGTGACACCAACTGTTACACTCTCAACCCACAGCAGAGACAAGTGATGAACCAGCTATCTGTCAGTTAGACCTGCCTCACGCCCTCCCTCACACCCACACTCCCCTGCATGCCACCCCTCCCCCAGATAAGGGCTGAAGAGTTACCTGCTGGAGGAGGCCCATGAGCTCCTGCAAAAGGAAGTCACAGAGAAAGGTCTTGTCATAAAAACAGGGGTCTCTCACAAAGCCCAAGGGGCAACAGGACATGAGGCTTAGCTGAAGTTGTTCTCTCATCCTGTGTTCACTAAGACCCTGAGCACCCCCAAAAAGGATGAAGCTGCCACCGGAAGGAGGGGAAGCAAGGCCCATGATCTCTCCGTGGACAGCAACAGTGGTGAAAGTCCCAGAATGGGCTCCACCATGGCTCTGTGGCAGTCACAATCAGCAAAGTCCCCCCAGGATTCCAGTCCCCCCGGGGTCTCCTGTGTCCTCCAACCCCCAACCCAGCTCCTCCCCCAGCCCTGCTCCTCCCCTAAGCACACCTCCACCTTCCCCTTCCTTCTTCCCCTTTCCCCTTCCCCTTCCTCCCCCTCCCCCCCAGTTTCCCCAGAGTCCTCACCCTTCTGACTCCTGTGGTGGATGAACAGCCCCAGCCCGAGGAAGATCAGCCCCAGCACGAAGCCCCCGATGCCACTCAGCATCTTGCTCTGGGCAGACTCGGACTGTGCGCCTGGGGAGCAGAGCCTGAGTGTCAGCTTTGTCCCCACACACCATGACTGAGTTCACCCTGGGCCATATGAGGTAAAGGAGCTGGGAGGGTCCAGTTCCAGAGCAAGGATAAGGGCCAAATAAGAAATCTAGATCATAGTTGTGAGGGGAGGTGCTAAGAGGATGTTTGCGCCTCACAGACATATCTATAACGTTGGACCAGAATATCCAGGCATTAGCTATCGCTGTCAACTCCTCTGGATATTAGGGACAAGTTCCAGGGCCCTAGTGATCACTCACAACTACTGTCTGGAAAGACAATTGGGTCAGGGTTCTCCCTATGTCCTTACTATGAGGCAAGAAATATGGTTTCTTATACTTTTCAGCTCAGTAGGACAACAGGACAAGTGGTGGCATTGGAGGGATGGGATAATAACTAAAATCCTATGTCATATGGGGCCCATAGTGAAATAAAAACGTTTCCCTTACTCCACTCCACGGTGACGGGGCTCTGCAGGCTGGGGTGCTCCACGTGGCAGGTGTAGACGTCTCCCCGCTGAGGAGTCATCTCCAGCATGACCAGGATCTGGAAGGTCCAGTCCCCGTTCTGAATAAGCTTCGTGGACACGACCCCCACCGTCTCCTCCTGGCCGTTCCGGAACCAGCGCACTTTGATCTGGGCTGGGTAGAAATCAGTCACCGAGCAGACCAGCAGGTTGTGGTGGTTGAGGGCCTCTGTCCTGGTCAGGTAGACGGCCACCCTTGGCTGCTCTAGGGGAACAGAAGAGAAAAGACGGTGAGTGAGATGGGGGAGCACGGACAGGGAGGGGTGAGTGAGATGGGGGAGCACGTGGAGAGTCCTCACAGGGAAGAGGCAAGATGGGAATGCCTGAGCCTGGGTTCTCACACCGAATGAAGATCAACTCCACAAATACAAGCTTAACAGCTACTGGGAAAATAAGAGTGGCCCTGCTCTCACAGGATAGAAAATAGAGTAAGAAAAAAGAAAAAATATTATGATTTCAAGTTTATCGTTTTTGAAGAAAAGATGCAAAAATAACTCCAGTACGTTGCTACTTCCTTCTTCTCCTCGGACTGTTATCACAGACAGATGTCTTTCCCGACTGACTTCATACACCGTGCCCACTACCTCAGAAGCCTTCTCAATGAGTGCTCCTATCACTTCAGGGTCAGAACAGCATACATAATGTGTTTCATGACTCGAGAACACGCTATGTTCTCTCATTTTCTCCTCACACCCGCCCCATTGTCTTTCCACAGTTAAGCGAGTTCATTACTGTCGCCATCGCTGCATTCCCTTGCTGTGAGCAATGAGTTGCCAATGGGACCGAACAGTGGATCGTTTCAGTTTAATAAAAAGTCGCCTGGAAAACCATAGCAACTTCTTGAGTTAATAGTTGATGCAGTTGTAATGTTCAGTATTAAATTTGAGCACGATACCTAACACGGCCCTTTAATTGACATGGTCTCTAAGAGGCTCTGGGAGCGTCAGGGAGTGTCCGGAAGTGGAAGTGAGCCTAGGAAGGCCCCGCCTACGGGACTCAGAGGACCATCCCAGCGCTGTCCCTGTCCCACTAAAGTAATGGCGCCCACAGCAATGCTCCCATCTAGGACACAGCGGGTCCCCTCAGGAAGGGCGGCCTGGGGGCTGGGGAGAGCTAACTTTAGGGGCGCTGCTGCTCTTGCAGAGGACCTGGGTTCAGTTCCCAGCACCGCCTGTAACTCCAGCCCCAGGGCTCCAGTGATGACGCTATCTTTTTTTTTTTTTTTTAGCAATTTCCCCTCAGATTCTGAATCACAGACTTCTAGTAGGATCCAAGTCTACTTCAGAGCTCGCTCGGAGACCTTAACTCCAGTAATGGCTTCAGGTCAGCGCCTGGCAACAAACCTGGGCCTCAAAGGCGCCCAAAGTTAAGACACAGAGAACAAGATGCGTGGCCTCTCCCCTGCTCCGCTCCCCTAGGCAGCACTGAATCGTTTCCTGGCGGCGGGACTTGCAGCAGAGCCGGGGTCAGAGGGCAGCGTGGGCCGCACGGGGCATAGGTCAAAGGGCAAAGGTGAAGAAAGAGGGAGACTCCGGGGAGGGTCCACAGGGCGGGGGCAGCTGCGGCGGCAGGAAATTGGGCTGCGGTGTCGCCGGGCCCCGCCCCCCCCCGGCCTCGCCCCGCGCTCACCTCTCCGCTGCACAATGAAGCTGTCAAAAATCCCGTAGTTGTGTCTGCACACCGTCTCTATGTCCGCCCGCCTCTGCTCCAGGAAGTCCTTCTGGCTGTTCCAGGACTCGGCTGTGGGCCGCCCCAGCTCGGTCACGGCGCGGTACTCGCCCACGTCGCTGTCGAAGCGCAGGATCTCCTCCTGGTTGTAGATCCATTTGGACACACTCCGCATGCGCTGCGTCCCGTTGGTGTAGTAGCACAGGCCCATGTACTGTAACACGGAATCCCCTGCGGACGGACGGACGGACGCGGTCAGCCCCGGACCCCGCGGACACACGGGGGACGACGCGGTCCCCGGGACCTCAGAGCCCCGCCTGACTACAGGGGTCGGGGCTCCGGGTGAACCCCCGCCCGGGCTCGGGGGAGCCTCGGAGCGGTTTCCTCTCTTAAAGACGAGTTCAAGGGAGGCAGCGGGAGTCGGGGGCCGAGCCCGCCCCGGCAAGGACGTTTATTTCCCGGGAGCCCGAATTGCACTCGGTGCCGGGAGAAAAAAATTTAAGAGAACATTCAGAGTTGGGGGAGGATCTGGACGGCGTTGGAAGTGGGGGTGAATATGGCCAAAACACGCTACGCGGAATTCTCGACGATCGGGAAAAAAAAGAGTATTCGGCTGTTTCCGCTGCCCCAACCCAACCTGGTGCAAACGGCCCTGCCCCCCACCCCCCCGCCCGACAAACCCAGGGGACATTTATTCTCAGAACAAAGGCGAATCCCGGTGACCTCTGGGGGCCGACCACTGGGCCGGGTCACTCACTCGGCAGCATCTTCAGAGTAACTGCAAAAGGGAAGTCAGGGCTCTGGGAGGGGCTGGGGCTCCCTGTGAAGCTCTCCCGTCTCTGAACTGAGGGGTCTCCCCGTGCGTGTCACACACTTCCCTCCTATGCCTATTTGTTGTTGTTGTTGTTAGAAATTCACTTTACCAACCCAGGTGTCCCAGTCCTCAAGCTCCCAATTGATGCAGAAATTTAGACTCCAGTCTGCTGCACTCCCTTTGGGTTCCACGCCAGGGTTTGCCTCCCTTAAACTCCACGGGTCAGGGATTTCCTCAAACACAGACTAAAAGCCCATCACTGGCCCGTGTTTCCCCATCTCAGGATCTAGCCATTGGAGGAGGGGGGACGCCGCCACCCCGAGCTCCCTTTATCCATCCTGGTGTTAGATTTAAACTCTGCCTCCTACTTTATCATGCCAGGATCCGGCTGTGTATTGATTAGGCTCATTCAATATTACAACACAGAAATGAGAAAGTAGCCTCGACCTCTCTTAGAGAAAGGAAATCTACGATAAAAGACTGTTCTAAAAGTGGGATCTTAACACACACACACACACACACACACACACACACACACACACACATCCCAGGGTCCCTCCGAGCTGCTCCCCCGGAGCCGCACTTACTTGAGGTGTCTCTGCCCTGGGCCCCCGGGCTGCTCAGCACCGTCAGCACCACAGCTGCTGCAAGCAGGAGGCTGGGGACCTGTGGAGCCATCTCAGAGGAAAAGGTAATGGCAGTCACCGGGACTCGCACCTGCTGTGTCCCCTTCGGAGAGCAGAAATCTGCAGCAGCCTCTATGAGTCCTGGGGTTTGTCCCGGAAGAGGAGCCAATCAGCACCGGAGCTGAGGCGCGCATCATCCGTCTCTGGGCAGACATTATTTACAAAGGTTCTCTTTGCTGTTTGTGGTCTGTTACTTTCATGGAGTCCCACTGGGTGAACATTTGAGGTGACAGCTCCTCTAAGCTACAGAGCAAACCTGTCCAAACTGCAGACGGACTGTGTTTGGGGTTTAAAGAGTCAAAGGAGAAAAGGGAGTCAAGTATAAGCAACTTTGGGATAGATACTTAAAAGCTACTGTTCTGGCCAGGCATGGTGACGCACACCTTTAATCCCAGCACCTGGGAAGCAGAGGCAGGCGGATCTCTGTGAGTTCGAGGCCAGCTTGGTCTACAGAGCGAGTTCCAGGACAGCCTCCAAAACAATACAGAGAAACCCTGTCTCGAAAAACCAAAAATAAATAAAAATAAAAACCACCGTTCTTACACTTGGGGGCGGGTGAGCAGGGAAATTAGGTAGAAGCCACGTTTTAGGTGACAGAGGTTATCCTTCGGTATGTCTGGCACTCCGAGGCACCGCGAATGAGAAAACAGAGTTCTTGGGGAATCGACGAGTCCCTGAACCTCTTCCTAACCGTGGACTTCTCTTTGTAAGGCCCCGTGCGCCCTATACCTAGAGCTTCATCTGCACGGGGTAAACAGCGATGTGGTGTGGTTGATACTGAAAACTGTGTTCGAGGTCGATGTGTGGCCTCAGGCAGGCATCTTCCTCACGCAGGAGCCTATCACGTGCGTGACGTCCCAATGAAAAGCCTTGGGACATCAATTACTCCAGCTTCTCCCTTACGGACTCCTCTGCTGTTCAACTCCCCCACAACCGTGACATAGGCCCACCGGTGTCAGCAAAGCTCGGTAACGCTTAGGACTATCAGACACGGTCACCTTGAGTTGGACGGAAGGCCAAAGGTGTGAAGCCGCAGCTTCAGGAAGTTTGTCCACAGGCTTGTCACGCCGTGCCGGCCTGAATGGCAGCCGACAGTGCGCACCCCTCATCTGAGCGCACGCTCCTGAGTCTGATTGTCAGCCGGCTAAGCAGTGCCTGGCGAACACCGGCAGTAGTAAGTCTCTCTCCCTCCTTCGGTGACACTGCCTCTACTGTTTTAGATCCTAGTTAAACAGGGGGCAGGACTTGAAAGCAGAGTGGGCCAGGGGAAGGGGAAGGGGGTAGGAACGGGGAGCAAGAACACTCAGGCGGGTTCTGGCAGCACAGGTGGACTGCAACAAGGCTGGTTGGACGCCGATGCAGAGAACCCCAAGGGACGGCCCTGGACTCTGGGCTCCTGGACTCTGGGCTTCTGGACTCTGGGCTCCTGGACTCTCCTGGGCTCCTGGGCTCCTGGGCTCTCACCAGCTCAGGAGGGACACAGATCACCTCAGCCTGTGCAAGGGACAGAAAGGAGGCTTATCAAACTCAGGTGTGGGACAGTTGGATGACAGACGTGGCCATAAGGGGACCTTGGAGATGGATGCTCTCAGTGTCCTCAATCCCCACCTAGACCTCCACACAGTAATCTCAGGGCTCTGCCTCTCCTGTTCCTTTCCTAAGGGGAAGCTCCTCAACTTTGTCCTGGGGCTGTGTCACACACAGGGGATTTCCAGCGCTCCCAGGCCTCTCCACACAGGACTTTCTCTAGCAACAACATTGTCACCAGGAGTCCTTTTCTGATTGGATAAAATGACTAGGAAGGCGGAGCCTTGGGCTTCTGCCAGCTCCTTCTGACTAGCCCAACCTTCTCTAGAGTCCTCTGCAGGGTTCCCGTCCCTCCTGTGTCACACAGGACTGCCACCCACCACTGTCCTGGCTTGAAGGGAACCCCAGTACCTCATCCCACGGTGCCTCCCCTGAATCGCACTGTAGGGCTCGTGAAGAGGGGACACCTAGACTGAGAGCCGGGTAGACTCCACCTGACTGCAGGAGACAGATTGCTGTGCATACTGGCCAAGGTTTCACAGGGGGCATCTCCGGTTCAACAACTGTAGGAGAAAAGGGTTGTGAACTCCTTGCGGGGAACTCAAGAGAAACCCTCTCCTCTGCCAGCACCCCTGAGAGTCAGTACTTGGTCAGTGGGGCTAAATTTGAAACTAGTAACTGATTTGTCCTCAGAACTCTATTGTGTTCATCTCAGGAATCAAGTGCTAGCCCCAGTATTCATTCAACAGGAAGGCGTTGTCCTTTAATGAAAAGCACATCAAACAACTACCCCCAAGTTTTCCTTAGTCTGCTTGAAGCTATTTACCTATTCCTACTATTCAACTCTTGAGCAATGAGTTATCTTAATGTCTGCTACACATATAAAATATATTTTTCATTATTATGAAGTTTTTTTCCTTTAAGTCACATTTTAGAAAATCCAGAGTCGAATGGCCGGCAAAGCAGGTTCAGAAAAGCCATTTCAACTCCGAAGATTCGGCTTTGCCGACGGAAGGAACGCACGCCGCAGACCGCTGCGTGAAGCAGACGCCATTCACGCACATCCCTGTGATCTCTGATAACCCACACACACATCACTTTCTGCCCTACAACTTCCGTCTCGAGTGGCTACCAACAATCTGTTTCAGAGGCTTGGTTCCTAGCCCAGGACATTCTGAGAGAGGCAGAACCTTCGGGAGGTAGAGACCAGAAGGACGCCTGCCATCAGCTGTGTTGGGGACACAGAGGCTCCAGACCATTCCTCTTTCCTTGTTTCTGAGCTGCCATTTCTTTCCCTCTGTGTCCTACCATAAAGATATGAGTCACTACAGCCCACAGGAAATGGGGCCAAAGGACCACGGGATGAAAGCTCTGAACTGGGAGCCAAAGCATTCCGCCCTGTAGACTGACTCTGATAACTACTCCTCTCTTCTCCCCTATTCTTGTCCTCCTCTCGTCTCCTCCCCTCCCCTCTGCTTTGTTCCCCACCTCTCCTCTCCTCTCCCCCCTCTCCTCCTCTCTCCTCTCCTCTCCTCTCTCTCTCCTCCCCTCTCCTCTCCTCCTCTCTCCTCTCCTCCTCTCTCCTCTCCTCTCCTCTCCTCCTCTCTCCTCTCCTCTCCTCTCCTCCTCTCTCCTCTCCTCTCCTCTCCTCCTCTCTCCTCTCCTCTCCTCTCCTCCTCTCTCCTCTCCTCTCCTCCCCTCTCCTCCTTTCTCCTCTCCTCTCCTCCTCTCTCCTCTCCTCCTCTCTCCTCTCCTCTCCTCCTCTCCTCTTCTTTCCTCTCCTCCTCTCTCCTCTCCTCTTCTTTCCTCTCCTCTCTCTCCTCTCCTCCCCTCTCCTCTCCTCCCCTCTCCTCTCCTCTCCTCCCCTCTCCTCTCCTCCCCTCTCCTCCTCTCCTCTCCCTCTCCCCTCTCCTCTCCTCTCCTCCTCTCTCCTCCTTTCTCCTCTCCTCTCCTCCTCTCTCCTCTTTACCCAGCCATGAGGTGAGCAGGCTTCCCCTGCCATGCACTGACACCTTGATGCCTTGTCCCACCGCACATCCAAAGCAACAGGACCGAAACTGCCAGCAGTCTAAACCAAAGCAAACCTTTTGTCTCTATAAGCTCATATTTGTTGTAGTCATGGAAAGTTGACTAACACACATCCCCAAATTTACTCCAAAGTATAAACCTACTATTTGCCAAGAACTAAACCAAACAGGCTAATCACAAAACCCATGGGAAGACATATGATAGTAAAACCTTTGAAAACTAAATCAAGCCTTAAAAACTTGGAAACGACAAGAGAAAAGACACATTGCCTGTGTAGAGAAAATAATTCCAGTGCCAGTGGATTTCTTATTGGGGCCAGAATGAAACAGCACCATGTCTTCAGGTGCTGAAAGAGACAAACTGTGAACTCAAAAACATGTGTGGCATGAAGACACCCTTCCAAAATGAACTGTGAGAAGTTGTTACCACCAGCTCTACTACAAAAAGACAGGAAAGCAAACTAACCCAAGCACCTGTAAAACACTGAAGATGACTTTTAGAATGTTTGGAAGACGAGCTACTCGATGGCTCTGTGCTTAAGAGCACACACTGCTGTCACACAGGACCCAAGCTTGGTTCCCATCAACCATATCAGCTGGTGCACAGCTGCCTGTGACTACAGCTCAGGGGGCCAAAACGCCCTCTTCTGGCTTCCAAGAGCACCTGCACATACATGCATGTATGCACACACACACACACACACACACACACACACACACTTAAAAACAAAAAGAATGCTTGAAGGAAAAAGACCAATGCAGAGTAGAGACGTGTAATTATAAACCTCTGTTCCCTTTGTGATTTCTAAATCTTGTTGTGTGTGAAGCAAACCTTTCACAATGGCTATGTAGCTCTCACTTACAGAGAGGAGATGCTGAGAACATTCTACTGTAAATGTGTGTGGTGGTCTGAGTGAGAATGGCCCCCACAGGCTTGGATGCTTGGTCACCAGGGAGTGGCATATTTGAAAGGGTTAGGAAGCAGGCCTTGCTGGGGGAGGTGTGTCACTGGGGGTGGGCTTGAGGCTGGTGCCAAGCCCAGAATCTCTCTTCCTGCTGCCTGTAGGCCTGGATGTTGAACTCTCAGCTACTTCTCCAGGACCACGTCAGCCTCTCTGCCACGATGCTCTTCAGCGTGATGACAGTGGACTAAACCTCTGAAACTGTAAGCCATTTAATGCTTACATTTGTAAGAGTTGCCATGGCCATGGTGTCGTTGGCAGCAACAGAACACTGATGAAGACAATGGGTAAGGTATACAAAAGGAGGTAAGGTAACCCACTTCACCCCAACGGGCAAATGTGAGCACCAGCAAATGCTCATGCATTACAGCAACTTCTTCAGGACGACGCCTCTGAAGAGAAACTCGGGAACCACTATTTGTAGGGAAGGGAGAGATGGCTCAGCAGTTGACAGCTCTGTACTTTCTTTGAACTTGTGGGACTTTACATCATAAATGCACCTGTGGTGTTTTGTAAGTCAGAGCTAACCTGGCATTGCAAAGAAGAGTAGTAGGATA